AAATAAAGATAAAAATTTGCAATTAATCAGAGGCTGATATTTTAAAAAAAATGTAGAATATATCTTAATGTGTCATGTTTTCAGATGTTTTTTCAGACTGTCACTTTATATAATTTTAGTTAAATATATTTATTGCCCAGACAGCAGATAAGTTGTTTGCTGTGATTTCATGGCCACTTCAGGAAACAAGCAATCAGGCTGTTAAGGCATTGCTGAGGCTAAGTACACAGTCATTTTATAAAGAAAAATAGGCCAAGAAGTCAGATAATATATTACATACACACAACATATACTATTTGCTATATACTTTCCCTGGTTGGCACAGCTCCTGTTATGCAAACACAGCTAGTTAAAAGTTTGATAATGACAAATAAAATCCAATTGTAGACTCAAAATTAACACAGTCTGACTCAACTGTACGGTAAACATGGGCTTCAATTGTCCAACAGATGGCAGTGTTGCCCTTTACTGTGGCCAGTGTAAAATCCTCTGTCCCTGGAGATCAAACAAAGGCACCAGCATCATCAGGTTGATCTGCTGCTGTTCTTTTTTGCATAATTAGCTATTATCAATTATAACTGTATTATTCAATATGTAAACACGTTACTTTAGCACTGATTTGTTTCACCTCACATGGCATCTTAGCAGTGGTTGAATAGTATGTAGGCCAGATTATTATTATTTTCCAATTTGCAAACTCACACATACATACACATGCTCATGCATTCATATTAGTTAAAAATATCCCAAATTATACTCAATTTGAATATTATGGTAATCTTAAGGTTTTGTGCTCTCATTCTATTGCTCCAAATGGCTTGAAGCCCCTCCAGCACTACTGCCTCTGCAAGATTAGACCCCTCCGTTTACAAGCAGCAATGCCCTGTTTCTGCAGCTCCATGCCTTCCAAAGAGCTCTGCACTGGTGGGATTATAGAGAAGAGATTCACATTTCCAGCTCAGGCTAATACACACACAAACATGCTCACGCACAAATATCAAGACACATTGTGGGTCGATTGTGAAAATACTAGCTAAATCAAGATGGCACATGGGGGTCATGCTAAATTTGACTTGCCCCTTTCAGTGTGTGAAGGCCACAAGGAGCATGACATCTGCTTTGGCAATGGCGGTCGCTCCCTCTACTGCTGCCTCCTGTTATAGCTGTATTACAGAGGGCTGCAGCTTCAGACAAGGCACATGTATGCAGAACCAGTGGCTGTGTTTACATGCACACCAAAAATTAGATCATTATCTGAATTCTGAAATGTCAAACAGTTGTATCAGATGTGAATGATCTGATTTCTTTCTGATTGTTCACACAAGGCCAGGTTTGACAAGGGACGTTATGAAAAACTAATGGGCAAAGACAAAATTGTGTTATATTTATTAACTGACAGATGTGCAGAATCCCTCAGTCGTCCAGGTAGAATCTATGGCAAAGGAGAAATTCATTATGTCAACTGGGCAAGCGTTTATTTGGGTTGAAAACAACTTGAAAACTGAGGTAAAAACTTTTTCAGAGTTTGCTTGGATAAGCTGCGTAACGTTTTCAACCCAAATAAACGTTTGTCCGATTGATATTGAATTTCTCCATTGCCATTAACTAATATATGTTACCAGGTCTCTTTGTTGATCACATTTCTTTCATGCATGTCAACGCACACCATGAGATCTGACTATTGTGTCATTGGGTTGTTACTGACCATGTACAACAAATTTCAAAATCAAAATTCAGTTCAATGTGCAAATTATGAACACATCCAGGAGTATTACCATTTGAAAAAATAGTGAAATATGAACTGCTAAACAAATACAAAATCACATGCAGTTGAGAACATGTTTCTAGGTTTGAAAATAGGGACTGAACCAGGACTGAACCAGCGCTTAAACAGAACTAAACCTGACTTAACCAGGACTTTAACCAGGACTTAATCAGGACTTAACCAGGACTAAACATAGTGAGGTTTAAAATGCAACAAGAGCCCATGGAGGCAGGATATATTTTTTTGTCTTTTAGACTCATCTGGTTTGTTATTGTCTCTCCGATATGAATAGTTAATCAATGATATGATAATCCAATAGCATGAATGTATATGCCTAATTTTACTACTGGCTAAGTGAAAAAGTGTCTGATACAGAGTCACACATATTGGCTCTCATATTTCCTGCATATTAGGCAGATAAAAATCTCAGAGTTGCATAAATCCCAATTTGTTTTGCCTGAATAAAGGCTGTGGCCCTTACGTCCACAACATCCCCCAGTGCACAATGTCTGGGGAATTTGCATGATTGCCTGCAGATTATTTGAACATTAGCCTCCCCTCCACCAATTCGCCCCTAGTTTTTTTTTTTTTTTTCTTTCTTTTCTTTTATTTCTGTGGTTTTGCTGTGAGGATGCGCGCACATCCTTGGGCAAAAGAATCTAAAATAGATCATACAAGGCACAGGACGGAGCTCAGGGGCAGACTTGAGTCATGCTGGCAAGATCATGCACCCAGAGCTGACAGCACAACACACCCGATTACCAAGCATGTCATTTGGGGAAAAATACATCTGCACCTCACGTTAGGTAGCCAACAACAAGAAATGTTCACATGTAGCACCAAATTGGCCAGACACAGTTGAATATGTGGGCTATATTACATAAAGGCATGTCGCAGTATCAAATTTTGGTGTCATTGTGAGCAGAAACATCACAAACGGCACTTTTACATATAGGATAACTTTTTTAGAATCTATTACAGAGAAGCTCACAATACGATATCCTGATAAAGACATATCCCTAAAACAGGGCCTGCTGAATAGAAAAATGCACTGGAATTTCATGTCCATAATGGCCTTAATATCAGAACTAAAAAGTCACTTTTTCAGCACAACAGTTCAGGTTTAATGCAGTAGCAGGTATGTGTAACTCAGCCATGAAAAAATATATTAACATGATTTAAAAGTATTAGGATGCACATCATCCCTGTATTAATATCAATATGATATTGACAATAAGTCTGACACAATATATAGCCCTAAAGTGAAATGACTTAATTTTGCTTCTAAAATGATCAAAACTTTGTAATACAATGTAGTTTCTGATGAGTGCTCCTGCTTTTAAGTGGCTTTTTCATACTCACAGTTTTATGTGTGAAAGATTTGATGTTTTATTTGCATGTTTGCAGTGTATTCACTGTTCTGCTCGTTGTTATTGTGTACTCCTTGTGCTACTCCCTGTTGACCAGGTCGTCTTTGTAAATGAGAATTGGCTCTCAATAAACCTACCTGGGTAAAGGATGAATTTTAAAAAAGCAGGCATTATGACTATACTGTGATCTGAATAATCTCAATTATCGATAACCAAATGATCTTGACATCTCTTGTTACATGAGTCTCACGTTTCTCTCCAAAGAACAGCCTGATGAGCTGCTCTCCAGCTCAACCAATCATGGCTCATTCATTGTGTCATTTGGACTGCTGGCAATGGCATAACCTTTGTGGAGGGAAGGGAAGACAACGCGGTCACTCCAGATCACAGTCTTCCCATACGCAGAAACAGACTGTCAGGCCACCTCAGCGTCAGCTGCACACCACCAACAATCGTTTGTCTATCTGCACTCTCTCCTTGTTTTGGTTATGATAGCTTTTGTGATATGGGCCGGTGCATTGATGTGCTATGCAGTAAGGATGGGAAAAACGGAAAAAAATTGCATCCTGGTTAGGATAATGATATCCATCTGAAATGTGCCAAGATGTGCCAAAAATGTAAAAGTCTTGGTTGAGTGTAAGTATAGCATAACAGAAGTAAGGGGACTGTAAATCTATTACTTTATACCATCTATTTAAAGATGACCCTGGAAGCATCTTTTAAAATATACCGTGTACGTGATATGCTAATTTAGCATAGCTTAAAAACAAGAATTTCAATATTACCTTGCAGACAATTACCCTCCTCTAGTGTAAAGGCTAATCAGTATGACACCGGCAATCCTTATTAATCATAATTGTAGTAGACGTATCACTTATTATTCTATTCATGCATGCCAAAGGATGGATAAGTATGACTAGTAAAGACTGAAATGCATGAATTTAAACTTTTTTAAAAATGTAGTACTGTAGTTTAGTTTAATGTGATATTATCAGATAAGAAGCAATAAGTGTAATTTGTTGTCGGTCTCTATTATTCCACTATAGTCTTTAATTATTGGGAGATGGGATATGTAAAATGCTTTTTGGTTCAATAGACTCTAACGCTTTGGAAGGACATATTGTATGGACTATTTCTCAAGTGTCTCAGTGGCTTCATCTCTGACCCACAATTTAACCAAATCTGCCCTCAAGTTAAATGCCAGTGTGATTTCTGATTAGAACTTTTGGCTCCCCTTTCGCATTGTTACATATTTATGACTTGTTAGT